ATTTAGCACAAAAAAAGGGAAGAGAACAATTTAAAAATCTGCAATGCCTTGCCTGACCTCATTTTACCATAAAGGATGCCATAAAAACAGTAAAAAGCACTATTAAAAAATTGGGGATAACTAATTATCAAAACACTCTACAACAATGGTACTCTACAAAAGTAACACAGCAGGTCTAACCCTGAGAGAAGCAAAGTAACCACTCTATAAAAGCCTTTTATTATTTCTTAAACTATCTAGACTTATCTGCTGTTCTCTTTGCAGCTTTCAAACATGTCTTTAAAAGGGATTGGTGGTGGTTCATTTCTAAATCAAGGGATATCGTAAGTGAAGTCATGAGTAGCCATTTTCTACATGACAAAATTTTTCAACTATCTACCACCCCTAAGAACCTCAATAACTTTTCCCATAAAGATTTACTAGCTCTGACACTAAAGGTAGTCCCACATACTTCACCTGTTGGCCTCTCCCTCTATGTGTCTTTTCTGCCATTCTGATGTGAGCAAGTAAGAATCAAAAGAAACAGAATTAATTAAAAAAGAAACAAACCTCATGAACTTTCTAATTTAATTTCCAGAAAAAGTAATTTGCCAGAGTAGCTGATTTATTTAAGCTGGGTGTTACATATGTTAGCTAAGACTTGTTCTTACAATTGCCTTTTTTATGAGTATCCAAGCAAAACTCCTCTGACAAAAGATAAATGACTTTTAAAAATATTTTTTCTTAACCTGCTAAATTGCAGTTTCATTTTAGAACAAGCTGGAATTAGCCCAAGCTCTCCGAGAAGCCAATTCTTGCTAGCAAGTGCATGAGCTACAAAAACGCATGTATGTATGCACACACTTACACCTTCAGCACAGATCTGCCCTGCAGAGTGAAACTCAGGTCGCTCTTAACTGGAGCACAGACCTTTAGCCAAACTCCCTGATCTGTGCAGAGATCTTTGGCATTGCAGCCTCTGGCAATCACCTTCTGACGAGCAAGCCTCTCTTCTACAACTGGTTGCTCTGTTGAAGCAAAAACATGTGTTTCCAATATCTGAGCTGCAAACAAGCCACTCTGATTTTCAGAAGAAAAAGAAAAGCTGAAGAGGTGAAAGGTGCTGAAGTATTACTGAACTTTCTATATTTGCTTGGGGATGACTACCTGAGGAGCTTTGAGCATCAGTGATCAAGCACACATTTACAATTCTACTCCTTATTCCATTCCTTTACTTAATACAGTTAAGTTTTTATGCTTACTGTTGCTGTGTATAACTATCTACAGAAGCACTTTTACTATTTTTAGAAAGTAAATAGGAATAAAGCTATGTTTAGCTTTTATTTCCATCTTGCAACATAGCTTTTGAACAGGTAATTTGTCAGCCTTCCAAATGCTGAATCATTAAAAAAAAAAGTGTAAGAAAGGGAAAATTAATATATTAAATATGCAATTCTAAGAAAGACTAGATGGTTTCAAAAATGGGTGCCTGCTTTTAAATGTATTATTTCTCTCTGTAAGTGTAGCAGTAATGGCTGGTTCACTCCATGTGAAGCTCAATTTAACCCTGTAAAGCTAGTGTAAGTGTGGGTGGAGAGACTATTATAACTTCAACAGAATGACTAATTTCTAATTGCACACTTTTTGTTAATGGTATTGATGCAAAACCCACAAAAAGCACAGCTTGGCTTTCAGATGCCAGGTACATATTTCATGGTTGGTAGCTAGAAAACATCCTCTTAACTGCTAACTGAACATACTGGATCTAGAGGTAACTGAAAAAATACCCTCTCTCTGTAAGCTTGATCTGCATCTTACCGATCTTCGTGGGATCTACACTAGGCATAAAATTATTTATATACATCACTTTGCTAAATGAATTATTGCATTTATAAAAATAGCTACTTAACAGTTCACTAACTGAAAGCATTGACAATTTGTAGTTTAAATAACCTTTCTAGTATGTTTTCTTAAGAATAGACTTTATTAGAAAAGCTACCAGCAACTCCGTTAAACCATTTTAGGTCCCTTCCAACCTCAACCATTTTGGGATTCTGGGATTTTGTAAATAATTGGATTTTAGACAATTTTCAACATATTTTGAAGTCTCTCCATTAGCCAGGATCATCTAATCCTTCATTTTCTTCCCCAGTGCCTCCTCTTTGAAAATAAGGACTGTATTAGAAACTAGATTCTGATACAGAATTTTTGTAATTACAAATACATCTCTGTACAGAATACTTTTCCAAATTAAACTTAGAGCAACAGCTGCAGGATAAGAGTTGGGTAAATTTGCCAAAGAATAAAAATAAATTAAATTAAAGCAACCAATCCAAGAAAAAAATACACACAACCACAAAATCCAGCAGTTAAATCAACATTATTTTTCAGCACTAAATGTCAAAATCTTAATCTTAATGATGAATGAAGAAACTGATACAATTCGGTTTTATCATCTCATGCTATTTGTAGACTCTCTCGGATAATTTCTCCTTTACTTTTCTGTGTTTAGACTAATCAGAATTAGGCCTTTCTGAAGCATCTGCAAAGGTTGTTTTCAGCACTGAAAAGGGACACTTTCAAGTATGTATTCCATACAGCACGATGTTTCATGGTATTCAGTGGATATTTTCCCAACATTTTTTTTTTTACACAGCCATTTCATTTTTATAAGATAGTCTAATCATCAACTGGATCTGTAGTGATCCCTCTGACACTTTTGCATTCAAAAGGATAGCTATCCACATATTCATGGTTTGTCCACTTAGCTTCTAGATACCAGGCAAGATTCAACAAAAAGAGCAGAAAGAAAAAGTTTGACACCAAAATTCCTGTGTTGCATTGTTGCACTTAGCAATTTGCAGATTTCTGAGAATACGGTTTGCCTGGACTTGTTCAGTTTACTGTATTAAAGGTAAAAGCAAAAGAGATATAAACTAGCAGTAATTAGACATTGTGAAAACACACTAAACGAAAGAGGAGCACTGACAGGCTAAAGCCCCACAAATATGAACATTCATTCCACACCAAACACGCTCACTTCAGCTCCTATCTTTTTCTGAGATTACTCTCCTATACATGGGCACAAAGTGTTCAAAAAGTGCTGTTTTGGCACACTGGCCAACAGCTGACAGTGCACTCAGAGATAATTTACATACTTAGGCTGTCAAGCAAACCAACCTGTAACATGAATTAGCAGTAAAATTTTTAGATCCCTATCAACTCTTCCCAGTGGACAGAAAGAATTAAAATTATGTAGTGGATTACTATTGATGTTACGGGGAGATTTTTGCAAAAATTTGGATAAACTATGAACTACAGAACACTTGCATTTCCCATCCCTTTTATTGTCTACTAAACTCTACAGGGAGCCTGTCAGCATCACCTGTACCCATTCTTGCACGCGTGTATTTTCTGTCATGCAGCGCTTCTCCTGCAGCAATAGAGAAACTCTCTTTTTTCTCTGTCTCCTTCCCCACAAGAATATCCTCCAACCTACAAAAATCTGCCTTGAAGTTGAGAGCGCCTGGGCCAACCGAAGCAGAACAGCGGGTATAAAATCCCACTCTTTCTGCATTTACTTCTAATGACTGTGGCAAATTTTACTGACATTGAGGAAGGATTTTAACTTGCTATACTATAAAGGTGACCATTTCATTTCTTCCTCTCTTTCCTGACTATAAGCCTTTTTGCTAATGCGGTTAGCCCTGCTATTCAAGCTGCGATTTGTCCCCTTGTGCCTGATGTTTAGCAATGTGCTCACAGTGACTACTTCAAAAGAGAGGCCTCCTCAACTCCCTGAGTGAGAGGCCCCCTCAACTCATCCACAGCAGCAACTGAAGTACCTACACCTCTGAATTCATCTGCTGTCCATTTCTGCCTACATTCATTCATTTTTACAGCTTGAATCAGCTGGAATGTGTCTGGTGCTTGTCCCCTGGAGAGCATTCAGAAAAGGATTTACAGTGGAGTAACCTCAGGTCTAGAGTTTGCTTATTCTCTGGCTACCATCACATACATCCTGGTGGAAAGAGAATGCAGCTGACAAAAGAAAACTGTCATAGCCTCACCAAATGGAAGAATATCTGTCCAAATCTGGGGTGTGCTACAAGCTCTGTTTATGTTCTTGGCTTGCTTTCAGTATGGTTGCAAAACCATGGACTTTCTTGCAAGAACAGTGAAACAAAGACTTAGTAAGTTATCTTTTCAGAAAAGGGTCTGCGCCTGTTCCTCATTTGTCTGTAATGGTATTTTGGCAGTACAGCAATTGAATATGCAGTGGTGTTTGGGTAGCAACCTAGCAGCCTAATAAATAAAACATGAAAGTTGAAGAAGAGAAAATTAAATAAAATTGCATGCATACTTTTCATTTTTCATGTCAAAGATCAGAATATTAAGGGCCTTGTTCTCTATTTTGTACTTAAGTCACTCATTATTCCTTGTGTCTCCCTCTAGAATTAGAGACTCCAATTAAAAATGAGCATATCAGAGAGAATACAAACATTAAGTGAAATGCATACTTCTGTATGCATTAAAAATTAAGTGGCATTAATTAAATGCTTAAATTTAAATTGACAAGACAAAGAAAGCAGATTGATATCCATTTTGCCAATATGGAACTGAAGGTAATTGGGAGCCAGGAAGAAATATACTGTGATTATGAAGGATGAATATGTTAACCAGGAGTGATTATTTTTCTTACCCATCTTGATTTTAGTATACTTAGAAGTTATAGAATTAATACAATTCTAGAAAGGACAGTCTTGATAGTAATTCTAATGCAGAATATTTCAATTTAAATATTGTTTGCTCACTGCTTAGTTGTTTGCATATGAAAGTCAATAAAAAAAAAAACCTCATATAACATGAGAGAACATAAAAGTGTCCCTGTGTTTTATTGCTCACAGTTTTAAAAGGGAAATAACCTATTCTTTGGCTTATCTCTGCATAGCAGATTTTAAGCTAAAGCAGTGCAGGCATTATTTTATGAAAAAGTTCACTTCCAACAATATACAACTTACGCATTTCTTCAACAACATCTGGATCACATTCTCTGTATTTGTCTATTTCTGCCTTTAGCTGCTCTTTTTTCTGCCGAAGAGCTGCAAGTTCCTCTATTAAAGCTGCACGTTCTGCCTGATAGTTCAGAGCAAGTTGGAATATATATTAAAAATGAAAGAAAGGAAGAAAGGAAGAAAGGAAGAAAGGAAACAATTATTATGCAGAACATTTTTTGAAAAATAAAAAAACATAAATTTAAAAAATTATTTTCACTACTGCTTTCTGACAGTGGACCAATTGAATCTTTTACGCACATTCAAAGTCAAAAGACAACAGAAGATAACAAATACAAAACAGAAGAAAAAAAATCAAGGCCAAAACAAAGAAAAATTTTCTACAATGTTTGAACTGTGTCATTTAACAAGCTTGGAACAGATTTCTTCATTGTTGGACTTACATGTTTTTATTGTGGGACTTATATGTTAAAGCATATTTAGGAATACTAGTCCTGCAATTAAAGACAAAATTACAAAAAAAAAAAAAATCCCTCATATTCACACTTCCAAATATCTGGATACCAACTCTATACTATTGCCCTCTGAAATTATTTTCCTCCTTTGTTCCATGCCATTTAAGAGCAGTAGCCTCAAAAATAATTCAAACATGATAATCTTTGTGGGGAGAGTATACAATATTACCTCAAATATACTACTGATCAGTAGAAATCCATAGACACCTGACCCAACATAAACACTTTCATAGTGAACTCTACACAGATTCCTAATTCAGCCTGCATTTAGAGCCAACCACTGTAACTGGCTGAAATTTGGGATTTTCAAAGAACTCATGACAGGGACAGCCTCAAAAAAAAAAAACAGCATGAGTTTGTTGGCCTTCCACGTCATTCTCCAAGGCATCCTGAGGGTTTTTCAAGCTTTCATATTCCCAATCCTTCAGCCAACAGTCTAGATTCAACATACTCTGGAAATGCAGATTCCAAATCACAGGCTCTGTGGGGTGAAAGCTGGTTGCCCAGAGCCCTGCACCATGAGCTGGATTTCCCAGGACTGGTGTAAAATTAGGAACCAAAATGTTGGAAGCATTGGCCATGATGGGATTTTCAGGACAACTAGCTTCTGCTAACTAAGGCAAGCAATGTGGTAGAGACACCCGAAGTCTCTAACAGCCCATTTGGAAACCTGACAAGCACAGCTGCATGAGAAACGTGCCTGAGATTCACTCATTGTGGACAAACATGCAGCACTTCCAAAACATATTTTGAATTCTAAGACCTGACACTTTCCCCCAAAAACTCCTTTTCACCTGAAAACTTCTTGCCACTCTTGCTCATGCACTTATTTACTCAATGTATAAGCTGAGAGACTTTTAAACTAAAACCGATGAACTATTTAGGACACCTTACAAAATATTTCTAAATTAATGGCACTTCATATGTATGTTAAATGTGAAGACTAAATATTATTTTTCAGTGTTATTTTAACAGCTTTAGCATATAGAAAACACAAAGCTTATTTGGCTTCTCAGAATAATAAATGAGAAATTTAGATTATAAATAGGTCCAAAAAAATAATGCCCCAACATTTGAGTTTGCAGCTAGTATATCTGGCAGTTTAGCAACCATCAGCAACTTTGGTATAGTTCTGTGAGTATATCTAAGTCTTAAGACATCTGAAAGATTAACAAACTTCAAACAGTCACACATTTTCTCAGCCACGAAGCAGACAGATGGCAATTTTTTACTCATTAGTGCATAACCAAGACATATTAACTTTCAGGAACTTTTTTTTTTTTCTCTATTCTTATAACCAATACTTGGAAGTTCTAATGGCTTTCCAACAACTACATTTACATTTAAAAACTGTCCATGCTTGTAGCCTGATTTCCTAGAAGGAACCAACTTCAAATCCAACTTACAGTATCTTCACGTCCAATTTTTGATTTCTCAATGCTTTTCTGTAAAGTCTCCTTCTTCTGAGTGCTTTCCGCAAACTGTGAGAGGAAACAAAGAACCACAATCAAACTATTTAAGTGCTAATTATACCTATAAAGGTATGTATCTGTACAGAAATATATTCAAATATGCGCATGTACACTTCTAAGTGCACACATTCATAAATAACTCTGTAATAAAAACAAAAAAATATAAAACCCAAGTTAAGTCTGAAGCCCTGACTCGCGGAAAGGAATTACAGAAAACGTTACAGTGTAGAAAATTCTTACTCCCATGGCACATAATCTTGTTATGTTCTACACCGTCAGCACAGCACCCATCTCCTGTTTCCTACCACAACGAAGCATCTCTATGCAAAGGCCTCCATGATGTGGAGGCTTTGGGTGAAATGATTTCTTTTGGTCGTTGACCAGCTCTGTAATCTCTCCCATAGCTGCTCCTTTATTCAATGGAAGCAGGGACAAAAGTTACAGCAGATGCACCTGCTTGGCTGCTGATCCTTCCCCGAGTCTGGTATGGCTCTGGCACTGCCCCAATCCTTGGGACACTCCAGTGAACAGAACTATCTACAGCTGAAAGGCGTGCAAAGCCCCAGGCCACTTTTCTGGGCTGTGCCCAGACAGCCATGCTATAGACTGTGCTGGGCTGGGGTAGAGGAATCTCACAGGGGAAGTCGCATTTCACAGGTTTGGTGTGAATATGCTCTGCATTTT